TGTTCTTTATATCCAACAACAACAATTGATCTATAAGAGTGCTCAAAAATTAGAGGCTACTTCTAGAAGGTGTTGGTGTTACTTTTGTTACTTCTTCTTAATATTCCACGATTAGATTTGGATGAACGAAACACTTAATCCATGTGCAGATTAGAGAAGTAAATTGTTTTGCTTATTCATCTTTGGGCTAAATCATGCATTTTTTTCACAGCCAGATGTACAAAATTCTAATTAACATGTGTATTTTACAAAATGCTCTAATATGCATATTATGTGTTGTATATTGTTGTTCTGCAACAGGCTTGGGTTTAAAATTTCTTACAAGAGAAAAATGATGAGATTAATTTACTTGTGTATTTATTTTTTGTCGCCTCCATTTCTTAAAAACTAAAGAGTCTAATATCTGTATCTTAACCATAGTCAAACTTCTTGACTTTACTAAATGATATGAATTCTTTACGTTAGCTGCATGACATTGCTTGTAAGGTAAGGACTTCTTACAGTAAGGACCACAACCATGGGTCGTTCATATTATATCTAAAATATTATGAAATCTCAAACTCGAGCACTTTGCAATTGGTGGTGACAAGGTGACATATGAGGTTTGTATGTATTTCAGCTTAAGAACACTTACCTTTTCTGTTGCCTTTTTGCTAAGATATTTGTGGTAGCATATGCGTTATCAATGTATATGAAGCAGTTTTTGTGTTGATTGTGTGATATGCGTAGTATGTTCGAGCTTCATACTTGAACTGTTATGTATTTGTGTTTCCTACCTAAATTATGATCAACTATTTACGCCACATGGACAAATTTTATCACTCTTTCTAGCCGAGTGGATGTTTGTGAATTTCAATCTCAATGTTAGCATTCAGATTCTGACTTGAGTGTACATATTATTATTTACATTGCCTTTTTAATTAAATCAGACAATTCAATCAAATTATTTTACTATTAGTTAGATACAAGATTTCACTTGATGAGAACTTTATGGGTTCTATATATATCTATATATATATATATACACACACTATAGATTTATTAACACAAATACACTATTTTTAAAAAAAAACTAGCTTCGGACAACCCCATATGGGCTTCTAACTACGCTTCTACTGGCAGTCAATATAAGTCGGGTGGCAATCATGTTGTGTTAAATATTATTTTATTTTTCTATCACCTAGTCCTTTTTATTTTAATAGTGTTTTGCTCATAAGTATGATGAATGTACTTGAAGTTGGATGAAACACAATAAAACCTTTCACTAATGGTTTTAAGCCCATATTACAACAAACTGACTTAGTTGTGGCTACTTTTTCCCTTTTTTTGGTCTTTCTGTTGTGATGATGAAGCCTTATTTCCCTTTAGTTATTTTACTTAGGTATAAATTAGTAGTAGTTGGTTCATACCTTGTGATTATTTTATGATGACATAAAAAAAATAGCAACTGCAATATTGTTTTGGGTAGTTTTGATTACTAAACTTACCTGGAACAAGTGTGTGTCACTATCAGGGCCAGATAATAGAGGTTTGTGCGGTGTCATTTCATCAAAGCTCAAGACTCCAGTACAAGTGATATTCTAACTAGCTCTGTCCTTACATTCATGTTTTTTTTTCTTTTCATTTTGGATAAACCAACAAAAAGCTTTTGTCTATGATATGGTTCTATCTTTGAACCGTGATGCGTGTAAAATTTTCACTTCATGTGCTGCTCTCATATCCTTAGTGATGCTTCCTTTCTTATTATGAGTTTGTCCTCCTTTAACACAGTTTCGTTGAAGTACTGTCTAAAATTTATGAACTCCAAGTAAGAGAAAAAACTTGCCTAATCAGGGTGTGTTTGACACGGAGGATAATGTTTTCCAATTTTATTTTCAACTTTCTTTAGGTTTAGGTCTTAATGCAAATGTAAAAAATTATTGTGTTAATATTTAATTTGAATATATCCGAAGTTTCTAGCTCATAATAGAGCATAAAAAAGTATACTTACTTCTATTTTGCTACAGATTTAAGACCTTATTGATTACATAATTGAATAGTTCAATGACCACATCCTATTTTTTCCAGTAGGCATGCACCTACCTGTATTTGTACATTCTTCTGCATTAGATCTTGTTTCTAAACTTGGTGCGATTTTAACCTTATTTACCACAGTTCATAACTTTATTGACTATTATTCCACTCTCTTGAGTTTAATATAACTTTTATAAATTGGGAAGGATTTAAGTTTTATGTATTGATAACATAAAGAATTTAACTTGTATACACAAATAATGTAGGAGTTTAAGAAACAACTTGAAGCTTTAAGTATATGTCATGATAACATCTACTACATCCCTCTTGATAAACACTCAACACAACACAATAAAACAGTTCTTTTATCGTGGAAACCACTACTCTTTTATTAGTTTCAAGAACAATTAAGGATTACAACTTAACAATAAAAGGAACTAACTCTAGTAGCTTTACTCTTCGACGATTAATTATAATTGAGGACTCTACTCTCCAAGAAGCCAAACCCACTTTTTGTTACAATTCTCAGACCTCTCTTTTTGAAACTTGGAACCCTAATTCCTAAGCACTTATTCTACAATGAAAGAATGCAAACTCAACTCTAGAAAGAAAACTTAACTCTAGTTCTTCTTTCTTATCGCCTCTCTATCGCTCACGTCGCTTTGTGTTTGTTGGAAAAATCTCTCAATTTGTGATAGCAAAAAGCCAATCTTCTCTTCTTTGATTTTGTCATTTTGAAGAAGTGGATTATGCCTTAGTCGACTTCTACAAGGAAAAAAATTAGTGTTTCCTAGAAAAAATAATCTTTTTCCTTATAGGACTTGTTTAGCTCCTTCCTTTTCCATCTCGGATTCATATGCCTTTATTCTTCTCCTTATTTGACTTGGATTGCTGTTTGAAATTAGTTTCCTATTTCATATGTGTTTGCGTAATCTTTCCCGCTCCTTTTTATTTCAAGTCTAGTACATGCATGTGAACCTGGTTCATGTTGTCATCGTCAAAAGTAATTTGAAAATGTTTGCAAGTCATCAGCTACAGTAAACTACCCAGGGTTAGGAGGACCCACAACCAATATTCTAAATTCAAAGCCTATCAGGTAACAAGAAAACAATAACAGAGAACAAAATATCGTCAAACAATAACCTAACCGAACCGCCATAAGCCCAGAAGGTACAAACAACAAACACAACCCAACTGACCCTAATAAATAGGAGGGTACAATCAACAAACAGGTATACTAGTGATAGTCAATGCATATAAATGAAGAGGATGTAATAGGACCGTCAATAACCATCTATATCAAATTGTATTGACCTACCTCCCTACCGTGCGGGTGAGGTGGGACCCATCGAGATCCATCATCCAATACTATGGTATTGACAGCCAGAGGGGCTCATAGGGGACGCGGGTAGTCCATATACACTGCTTCGACGTGAATCCAAGTGTTATGGCATGCTGATTCTGTAGAGGATCATAAGTAGACAGAATTAGGCAAGAAAAGGTGTCGACGCGTGGGCTAGTCAAGTAAAAACTGAGCACATTCCAGATGCCTTCAATATCTCAAGTATGAAAGGAGCACATCCCTAACACCCTGTAATCTGAAAAAACAATAAATTGAATGGTCCAGGTGGTACGACTCTCGTTAAAACAAGTTTAGAATAAAAGTCGAGTAAAAGAGTATCTCATCATGTATGATAAATATGTCTATGCATGAACCGAAATTGTACCACAAAACCCATGACAATGAATAAATAATGCATGTCATAACCAACATCCAAACAACAAATAAATATAAGGTCAACTATGACATTCTACCAAAGACGAAGAGTACTAACCTTTTGTTTAACTGGTCCTTGCATACGGACTCAGGCCTATCAATACAATCAAGCTCAATATGAGTACAACAAGCCTACCGCTAAACAACAAGTGAAACGGTCAAGAAGAGCCTTCAAATCAATAAAGGGGGAACAACTCAAGGGACGATGCCGCAACCCAATCATACTACTCTAGTATGTGAAAGAGAAAAACTAGGACCAACCCCTGGCTATGACGAGGCATCAAGGTCATATGAACTAACACAAGGAGGGAGACCTATTGCAAACCTTATAGGGAGCTAATCAAAATTACAAGGCGATAAAACACAAGTTAAGGTATTTAAGGTGCAACCTATTCTATGTCCATAATGTATCAAGCCTAAGAAATATCATCTACACCACAAGCAAAGCTACAAGCTTAAATTAAGGATCCCAATATCCACACTAAGCCCAAGGCTCTTAGGGAATCGGGAAAAGATAGGACAACAAGAAGAAATCTAAATACCCGGCAAATAAAATTCAAAATTACATGAAATTTATTCTAGGCATTATTTAAGAAGCGCAATCAAGAAAATAGATTGAGGCATACCTCAAAGCCAATCACAAACCCTCAGAGTTGATAGTTTTGTTCATTTAGATACTTTCAAACATCTATTGAGTTAATCAGTTATTGAGACTTTATGAGTTAATATTTACAATTGAGCTCCTATTTTACTTGAAAGTCTTTCATTGAGTTTTGAGCCAGACCAAGGGTTTTGTTGGGAACCAATGATGGTTCTCGAGTGCCGGCCACGTCCACAGTGTAGACTCGGGGAGTGAAAAACTTGGTTATAGAGCATAGAGTTAAGAGTCCTAGGATGTCTATGAAGTTATGTCTGTAGAATCCTTGTTATTTGTGTGAAGCGCGTCACATCTATCATTAGGAGGCTACAATATTTAGGAAACATATCACTTCCTTCTTACTCTCTTTCCTACAATAGAGTTCAACTTTATAAAAGTTTCTTTTTAATTTGTGCTTGTGCGTATCTTTTCAGATCATGGTTCATGAAGAGTTGTTTGAGGTCGTTTGCAAGGAGAAAGGTTGATCTTTAAGATCAAGGGGTACCTAATGCACCAGATGTGCAACCCATTGAAGGAGTGGTCACCAATCTTCAGTTCCGAGATGCTATCCAAATGTTGAGTCAAGTTGTGTCCAATCAAGCTGGTCAACAAAGAGTGGGTTTTCAGGATGTTGCTGATACATCCAGGATCCATGAGTTATTAAGAATGAATACTCTAGAATTCACAGGGTCAAATGTCATTGAGGGTCTGGAGAACTTTCTGGAGGAGCTGTCGAAGATGTTTGAGGTTATGCATGTTGCTGATGTTGAGCGTATGGATTTAGCTGCATACCAACTCAGGGGTGTTTCTAGTATTTAGTACGATCAATGGAAGTAGAGCAGCGCTGAAAGGGCACCACTTGTGAGCTGGACTGTCTTTGAAAGTGCCTTCCTAGGGCACTTATTTCCCTGCAAACTAAGGGAAGCGAAGGTAAGAGAATTTATGAATCTTAAATAGGAGGACATGAGTGTGCATGAGTACAACCTCAAGTTCATTCAACTTTCCCTTAATGCTCCGGAGATGGTGGAAAATATGAGAAGTATGATGAGTCTTTTTGAATCTGGGTTGTCTCTCTTGTCAAGTACGGAGGGCAAGACAGGTATGTTGATAGAAGATATTGACATTACCATGCTTATGATCCCTGTGCAATAGGTTAAGAAATATAATATGAAAGATAGAGAGGAGTTCCATAACAAGAGGGATAAGACTACATGTCATGAGTCTAGATAGTTGAAGACCAGTAATATGAACTGGTCATCATTTCAGGAAAGGCAAACCAGACCTACACCATCATCAGCTAGTGCACCTGCACTAAGGAACATATGTGACTTCAGGAACCAGAACCCCCAGAACTCCAGAGCTAGACCTACTCAGTCTCAAGGTAGTGTGGCACAAAGAGGTAATTGGACTCTTACAAGTGCTAAGTATGATAGAAACCCCCCAGAAGCGTGTCATGATGGCTCCAATAGTTGTTTCAAGTGTTGACTGTCATGTCACTTAATGAGAGAGTTCCCTAAGAACAGGCAGGGTAATGCAAATAGGGGCAATAAAGCCCAATATTCTTCAGCGGCTCCCGTAGATAAAGCTTTACCAAAAAAAGCTACATTAGGGACATGCAAAGGAACAAACCGTCTGTATGCTATAACCAGTAGCCAAGAATAGGAGAATTCACCAGATATAGCCACCGATATGATCAAAGTATTTACTTTTGATGTGCATGAATTACTTGATCCAGGTGCAAGTCTATCTTTTATGACTTCGTACATAGCTATAAGGTTCAATATTCTTTCGGAACAACTTCTTGAGTCGTTTAGTGTTTCCACACCTATTGGTGAATCTATTATATCCGAGAGAGTTTATCGTGATTATGTCATCTGTGTTAATTACTAGAACACCATGGATGACTTAGTCAAGTTATACATGGTGGACTGTGGTATTATTCTAGGTATGGACTGACTTCATGCTTGTTATACCTAAGTTGATTGTAGAACTCGAGTAGTCAAGTTTTAGTTTCCTAATGAGCCTATTATAGAGTGAAGGAGTAGTTCAACAGTGCCTAAGGGTCATTTCATTTCATACATTAAGGCTAGAAAGTTAATCTCGTAGGGGTGCATCTATCACTTACTCTGAGTGAATGACTCTAGTGTTGAGACACCACATATTCAGTCAGTTCTCTTTATTAGTGAGTTTCCATAGGTCTTTCGAGATGATCTTCCTTGAGTCCCTCCGAGATGGAAATAGATTTTGGCATAGAGATTCTTCCTGATACTCGACCTACCTCTATTCCACCATATAGAATGACTATAGCTGAGTTAAAAGTCCATTTGAAAGATCTTCTTGATAAATGTTTTATTCGACCTAGTGTCTCACCTTGGGGTGCTCCAGTCTTATTGGTGAGGAAGAAAGATGGTTCTCTTAGAATTCGTATTAATTACCGCCAGTTGAACAAGGTCACTATAAAAAGTAAGCACCCTCTTCTAAGAATTGATGATCTTTTTTATCAATTCCCGGGTGCCACTTGTTTTTCTAGATAGACCTCAGTTCTGGCTATCATCAGTTGAGAGTGAAAGAAAGTGACATCCCAAAGATAAGATTTAGGACCCGTTATGGTGATTATGAGTTTCTTGTTATGTCTTTTGGCTTAAAAAATTATCCTACAATGTTCATGAATCTTATGAATATTTAAGCCATGTCTCGACATGTTTGTAATTGTATTCATTGATGACATTTTGATTTATTCGAGGAATGAGGAAGATCATTCTAGTCATTTCAGGATAGTTCTCCAAACTCTCAAGGATAGAGAGTTGTATGCTAAATTTTCTAAGTGTGAGTTTTGGCTTGAGATCGTGGCATTCTTAGGCCACATTTTATTTGGAGTAGGAATTCGAGTTGATACTCAAAAGATTGAAGTAGTGCAGAACTGGCGCAGACCTACATCTCCAACTGATATAAGGAGTTTCTTGGGATTGGCTGGTTATTACAGAAGGTTTGTTGAGGGGTTTTAATCCATTTCATCCCCGTTGACAAAGTTGACTCAAAAGGTGGTAAAGTTTCAATGGTCTGAAGCTTATGGGTCTAGATTTGGACTTGGTTGTGTATTGATGCAGAATGGTAAGGTATAGCCTATGCCTCCAGACAACTGAAGATTTACAAGAAAAATTTCCCAAATCATGATGTCAAGTTGACTGCTGTAACATTTGCTTCGAAAATATGGAATTACTATCTCTATGATGTTCATGTATATGTTGTTACGATCACAAGAGTCTTCATTATATTTTTAGTCAAAAATAGTTTAATCTTAGATAGAAGAGGTGTTTAGAGTTATTAAAGGATTACCAATTGAGTATCCTCTATCACCTTGGTAAGGCTAATGTTGTTGCTGATGCTTTGATCAGATTATCTATGGGAAGTACTACCCATGTTGACGAAGGCAAGAAATAATTGGCCAAAGATGAGTACAGACTTGCACGATTGGGAGTCTGGTAGTTATATTCCAAAAAAGGTGAAATGGTAGTGATGAATGGGGCTGAATCATCACTAGTGTCTAAAGTGAAGGAGGAAAAAGACCAAGACCCTGTTCTGCTTGAATTAAAGGTGAATGTTCTTAACCAAAAGGTGATGGCTTTTGAACAAGGGGGAGATGGTGTGTTGAGGTACCAAGGTAGACTTTGTGTGCCAAAGGTGGATGAGCTCCAAGAGTGGATCATGCAGAAATTTCATAGCTCCAGATATTGGATCCATCTCGTCCACAAAGATGTATCGTGACTTAAGAGAAGTCTATTGGTGGAGTAGTATGAAGAGATGTATTAGAGATTTCATTGCTAAGTGCCCAAAGTGTTAACAAGTTAAGGTAGAACACCAAACACCAGGTGGTATGGCTCAGAATATAGATATTCTGGAATGGAAGTGGGACATGATCAACATGGATTTCCTTACTGGCTTTCTGTGATCTTGTAGGCAATATGATTTTATTTAAGTGATTGTAGATCAAATGACTAAATCAGCCCATTGGTTGCTAGTAAAGACTACCAATTCAACTATAGATTATGCTAAATTATACATCCAGGATATAGTCCGACTGCATGGAGTTCCTATGTCTATCATATCAGATAGAGGTGCACAATTCACCACTCAATTTTGGATGTGTTTTCAGAATGTTTTGGGTTTGATGGTAAATTTGAGTACTGCTTTTCATCCTTAGACTAATGGTGAAGTAGAATGCACGATTTAGACCTTAGAGTATATGTTGAGGGAATGTGTCTAAGACTTTAAAGGTAATTGGGATGACCACTTGCCTCTCATAGAGTTTGCTTACAACAATAGCTATCACTCCAGTATACATATGGCTCCTTATGAGGGTCTTTATGAGAGAAGATGTAGATCTCCTATTGGTTGGTTCGAGGTTGGTGAGCTGAGTTGATAGGACCATATTTTGTTCATCAAGCCATGGAAAAGGTGAAGATTATTCAGGAAAGGTTAAAGACAGTGCAAAGTCATCATAAATACTATACAGATGTTAGGAGAATAGACATAGAGTTTGAGGTGGATGATTGGGTTTGCTTGAATGTTTCACCCATGAAGAGTGTTATGAGATTTGGCAAGAAGGGGAAACTCATTCCCCGGTATATTGGTCCTTACTGGATTTCCAAGAGAATTGGCAATGTACCTTATGAATTGGAGCTACCGTTAGAGTTAGCAGCACTCCATTCGGTGTCTCACATTTATATGTTGAATGAAGTGTATTGGAGATCCTTCACTCATTTTTCCTACTGAGAATATTGGTATTAAGGACAACCTATCTTATGAGGAGGTGCCTGTTCAGCTTCTTGAACGTTAGGTTCGCAAGTTGAGGACCAAAGAGGTTTCATCAATAAAGGTCTTATGGAGGAATCAATTTGTAGATAAAGTGACTTGGGAAGCCAAGGAGGATATGAATAAGAGATACCCACATCTCTTCCCTTCCGTAGAAATTCTAAATAAAGTTACTAATCCTTTGTAAAGTAATCTTTAAGTTAATATGCTGAGTTATGTGAATTGCGTGTTGTGTACTTGAGCTGGGGTGTTACATTCTTCCCCTTTTCTTTTTGTCTTAGTGTGATCTCATTTGAGGACAAATGTTCCCAAGGGAGAGATAATGTAACATCTCGTACTTCGAAAAGTCAACTAGATATTCGTACAAGAAAAAAACTTCAGTTTTAAGTGTTAGGTAAACTTCAAATGACCATAACTTTCAACACAAAATGAGTTAGGTTACTCATGAATATCAAATCTAAGGTATTTGAGTCCTCTTTCCAACGCCACTAAGTTTGCTAAATTTCGAGTTCGGATGAAGGAGTTATACCCATTTGAGTGCAACCTCTCTAGTTAAAGCATTTCATCCGTTTTAAGGAGGGGTATTTTGGTCTTTTCCTTACCCCCACTAGGCCTAGACATTTCACTCACCCAAATAGGGGTCTAAACTGATTGAGATCAGTTTCCATTCATTCCTAAATGCTTAGGGTTGAGAGAAGCATTTCAAGAGGTGAAGAAGAATAAGGTTTCAAACGTTCATTCGAGTTTTGAGGATTTTCGCCAAGAATTTAGGTTTCTAAGGAGTTTCAGAGTATTACCTCTTTTAGGAGGATCTTTTGAGTAATTACTTCAATGGAGAAAGAGTTATGTTTTTAAGCATTTGTGTCTGAGTTATATATATTATTGGGAGTAGTATTGAGCATCGATATTAGGATCAATTCAGACAATTCAAAATCATCATAAACCATGTATGCCAACATGGGTAAAGGGTCATACTTTTTAGATGATTTCTTATTGTTTTTAAGCATATATTAGTGGATCCACTTAGTTGAGGTGTTCTATACCCCGACAAGGTATATGATAGTTTTGGCAGCGTGGGAGAGACGTTATATCATCACGTAGCTTACAGTGATGGTTGTCGGTTAGAAAATCTCGCAAATAAGAGTAAAGAGTTTATTTATTGTATACTATACATATTGAGTTGATATTTACTATTTTAAAAGCTTGCTATATTGCATCATTTATTGTTGCTTTCACATTTTTGTTGAGATGAGGTTATTATGTCTTCCTAAAGTATCAGTACATGTACCTATTAGTTTTAGTTTTCCACTTACATGATCCTACATTCAATATACTGATGTCATTCGACCTGCATATTTTCATGATGCAGATACACGTGTTTAGGGTCATCAATAGGTGCTCCGTTGATCCTATTGCATTCCCACTAGCTTTTGTGATCCTCCTTGCTTTTCAGAGGACTTCACATTATTGTTTTGTTGTTGATATGTTGTCGGGGTCTTGTACCAACATCTATTGTATTATTAGAGGCCTTATAGACAGTAGTAGATAAAGATTCCTTTTCCCCATTTTCCCTTGTTAATGTTTGAAAGATTTTGAGTTGATTGTTTTGTTCATTTAGATACTTTCAAGACATCTATTGAGTTAATAAGTTATTGAGACTTTATGAGTTAATCTTTACAATTGAGCTCCTATTTTACTTGAGTAAGTCTTCTGCTGAGTTGTGAGCCAGGACAAAGGTTTACATGGGGACCAGTGGTGGTTTTCGAGTGCTAGCCACGTCCAACATGTAGACTCGAGGAATGACACCTATTATCTGAAGGAACCGATGCCAAAAAATTGGGCACATTCTG